CTGCCCTCCCAGAGGCTCTGAGTGAGCTCAGGCACCCCTTACTGCTTTGGCTTCTCCTCTTGCACAAGGCCAGCACCCACTCCCTTTCCTGCTATCAAAGCTGATAAAGCAAGCAGCAAGAGGACTTGTCTTTCTGACCATATCAGCAAAGGGAAGTGCTGGCAGCTGCCTTTGTTTTCACTCCTTTGTAGATGGTCCCTGCTGGGAGAAGGCAGGCTTGGCCAGGACCTTGGAGCCGTGCTCATCTCCCCCGTGTCTGTCTGTGCCAGCACAGCATCCCAGTGTGGCTGCAGCTCCCCCCTTCCCGGGGACCTGGGCATTTCTGTGGGCTCAAACCCACTGCAGCTGGTTTTGTGTGCCAGACACGTGCCTGCAGCAGGCAGCGAGCTCACAGCCCGGCTGCTGCCCGTGGGAGCGCTGAAATCCGGCGGCAAAGAGCACCAGGCACATAAAGACAGGGATGGTTTGGGTTTGGGGGTGGAGCCGAGAGTGGGGCTGTGGCTTCCTCGGGAAAAGGGAGCGCTGCTGGGCACAGGGCGGTGGTGGAGTTTCCATAATAACAAGGGAAAGATCAGAGGTGAAAAATGAACTAGCAAGTGTGGACAGAAACAGCTGCCATGAATTTCTTTTTGTCCCACAGTGACACGAATACATCACAGAACGTGTGTACGTGCCCTTTTTTCCTCTGTGAACACTGATGGAGCATGCAACAGAAATCTTTCCCTGGCACACACACACACACACACATACACACACACACACACACACACACAGACACACACTCCCTCTAATCCCTTTCCTGCTTGTATGTCAGAGAAAGCTATTTCTGGAACATGAAATCTAGGTCAAAAAAAGGGAGAAAATCTGAAGGGAATGATAACAGTCCTTCCTAAAGGCGGTGTGGGGTCAGCTCAGGCCAATGGGATTAGCAAGGGGCCACAGTGGTGCTTCACCCCTGGCTGAGCGACGGCTCCTGGCCTGGTGTGAGCTCCCTGTGCCTCCCCATCGCTGCTGCTTCCCCACACAGGAGAGAAGGCCATGACAGCCGAGAGGAGTGCAACAGCAATCACCTACCTACACAGAGCCTGAGATCACGGCACTCAGAGGAGGAGAAGGAGGAGGAAGATACACGACTTTTCCAGAAGCCACATGACTTTCTCAGAAGCTGTGGAAACTCATCCCACAGTGAGCCAGCCCTTGGGGAGGGGGCCAGCACAACGAGGGGTGCAGGCACTTTGTCCTTCCTCCTAAGCACAGCCCTGTAATAGCATCAGTGCCAGGGGACTGGGCTGGCACCTGCCTTCTCCCGGGGCAGGGCAGGGTCCCAGCACAGCCATTTAATTTAGTCATAAACAGGGAAACAAAAGCAATACAAAGAAGACAGGAAGCAGGTGGGAGATGGAGGGCAGCTGTTCTGTCCCAACCTTTGGGAGTTTCTCTCCTGCCTGGCCTGGACTTGGCAAAGTTCTGGTATATGGACAGGCACAAGGTTGTGTGCAGCCCTGGCCTCCCTGGAAGAGATCTGGACACAGGATAAGGAGCTGGACACCTGAGCTTTTTGGGAACAGGCTGCTGAGTCCCAGGGCAGGATGCTCTGAGCAAGGGTGGTGTCACCAGATGGCACAAGGAGGACTGGGAAGAGCTTGAGCAGAACTGGCTTGGTGTGAGCTTTCCCTGCTGTATTTGCTTGTTTACCTCTGCTTTCCTGTTTCCCCTGGACATCAAATATTCCACTCTGCATTGCAAGCAGTCTATTAAACAAGCAATTCCCAGTGCTGCCTCTAACAAGCAGGAGCTGGGGCTGGGGAGCCCTTTGTGGTGCTCCAGAGCCGGCGCGGCTGTCACCGCACGCCTGGCAATTAGAGGAATAGGTTCCACTGGGGCTTTTGAGTCTCTGGCTGTGCAAGGCACAAAGCTTTGTTTAAGGCTGATCAAGGGCAGCTCATCATCTGTCTCGCTGTCTGTCAAATGGGAGCTAATTGCCCTGTAATGTGCCGGTGACACAGGCATTAGTGGGAGGAACTGGCGTGGCAGGGGTGTGACAGCTGTCAGGGCTCTCCCCCATGCTCCCCACACACCCTGCATGGAGCCAGCTGCCCCTCCTCCTGCTCTCTGACAGTGCCTCAATCCCTCTGCTTTAGCATCCAACCCCCACATGGCCCCCAAGGAACGAGAAGCTTGTGTTCTACCCCAGAACTGCTGCTGCTGGTGCCTCTTTAGGACGTGCCCTAACACAGACAAAAGCATGGTGCTCCCCATCCCTCTGGGCTGGTGCACAGATGCTGGATGAAGAAAGGTGTCCCTGGGATGTGTCTGGGTGAGGGCTCTCACTGGTGTCATCCAGAGCCCTGCGTGGAGCAGAGGCCATGAGTGACCATTACACCTGCAGGTGGCAGTGCAACCACTTCTCCCCGTGTGTCCAGGCTGCTGCCACCAAGCTGCTACCTGCTGCCTGGGAGGGACCTCTCCTACACCAGCAGCCACTCAGAGCCTCAGGGATGTACAGAAAAGGCCCTGGGGTGCTGGCTGACAGCAGCTGAACATAAGCCAGGTGTGCCCAGTGGGCAAGAGGCCAATGACACCTGACCTGTACCAGCTGTGCTGTGGCTGCAGGACCAGGGCAGTGACTGTTGCCCCTGTGCTGGGCACTGCTGAGGCACCTCAAGGGTTGTGTTCTTTAATGGGCCCCTTGTGACAAGGAAGGCAATGAGGGGCTGGAGCATGTCCAGGGAAGGGAATGGAGCTGGGGAAGGGGCTGGAGAAGCAGGAGCAGCTGAGGGGCTCAGCCTGGAGAAAAGGAGGCTCAGGGGGGAACCTCACTCTCTCCAACTCCCTGACAGGAGGGTGCAGCCAGGTGGGGATCAGGCTCTTCTCCCAGGTAACAAATGGCAGGATGAGAGGAAATGGCCTCAAGTTGCACCAGGGAGGTTTAGATTGGATATTAGGGAAAACTCTTAATGGAAAGGGTGCTCAGGCACTTGCACAGGCTGCCCAGGGCAGTGGTGGAGTCACCATCCCTGGGAAATGTTCAAAAAACTTGTGGATGTGGCACATGGGGACATGGGTTAGTGATGTCCTTGGCAGTGCTCTGGGTTAACAGCTGGACTCAATTATACTAGAGGGCTTTTCCAACCAAAATAATGTCATGGTTTGCAGGGGAACTGAGCCCAGATAGCCGATTAGAGGTGTGAGTGCTGTCCAGATGTGTCTCCTGCCTCCCACATCCTGTGCATGCACAACCACAGATGCTCCTCTCGCTCCCCAACCCTCCACCAAAACCCTTTCCCTCTCCAAGTCCCAGCAGCCAATGTGAAGGGCTGGGGGATGCTCTGGGAACCAGCAGAACTGTGCTGGGCCATGTCAGAGAGAGGTGGCACCCTGGCATTTGGAAGCCGCCTCTGTGCTGTGCCTGTTGCTGCTGCCTGGTGTCAGCCTGGACCTGGCAACACCGAGCTCAGCAGTGCTGAGCCAGCAAAGAGAAGGCGGTGGGAGCGGGGCAGCCAGGTGGGAGGAGTGTGGGACAGAAGCAGAGCAGAGAAGGTGGCAGGAAGGAGGGACAGGGCTGAGCAAACAACCCATCCCTCCCAGGGGATGTCTTCCAGTTCCTGCCTCGTCCTGTAGACCTTGACTGGGATGCCTCTGCAGCTCAGACCATGGAAGAGAGATGTTCAGCCATGCCTGTATCTCTGGGGAGGAAGGCCTGGAGCCAGGCAGGAAGGCTGCCAGTGCCTCTTCCCTGCTCCCCACTCTGCCCAGACCTGGGATGTGCTGTCTCCCACTGACAGGCCACCTCAGTGCTCTGGCAGCTTTGCCCACAGCAGATGAGCTGAGGCTGCTCTGAACCCCCCTTGGTGCCAGAGCTGGTGCTGACAGGCACTGTCCTGCTGGGCCTGTGCCCAGCATCCCCATGGGGATGGGACGTGCTGCCTTCCCAGACATCCCTGGCGAGATTCTGGATTCTTCCTGCCTGTCCTGGCACCTGCCTTGCACCAGGTACAGGCACCACCATGTTCAGGAACACCAAGGTATCACCTCTGCTAGCAGTTCCCAAAATTATCCCCATGATGGGAGCTCTCAGCTTCTCACACCTTGTGCTACACCTGAGCCCCATCTGGAGCACTGGGGCTGGCCAGAGCTGGGAAGGACACAAGCTGCCTTGGAGAAAATGATGCAAAGTGATGCAGATCAAGTGACTTGGAGCACCATGGAAATGCTGCCATGGCTCAGCACAGGGATGCTGGCCTCTGTGGCTTGGGGAGGCTTGTTGGTGCCTTGAAACTCAGTGCAAGATCTTCTTGTACCCCACAGCTAGGGATGTTGGGTCCTCTCTGTGTGTCATCACAGAGTCACAGAATGGTTTGGGTTGAAAGGACCTTAAAGCTCATCCAGTCCCACCCCTGCCATGGACAGGAACATCTTCCACTAGACCAGGTCGCTCCAAGCCTGTCCAACCTGGCTTTGAACACTTCCAGGGATGGGGCAACCACAACTGCTTTGGCAGCCCGTGCGAGCATCTCACTGACCTCTAAGATCTTCCTGGAGCCTCCTCTTTTCCAGGTTGAACATTCCCACCTCTGTCAGCCTGTCTCCAGAGGGGCTCCAGCCCTTGGAGCATCTCTGTGCTATCTTCTGGAGTTGCTCCAGCAGCTCCACGTCTTTCTAGTGCAGAGGGCCCCAGAGCTGGAGGCAGCTCTGCAGGAGGGGTCTCATGAAAGCAGAGTAGAGCAGGGGGAATTTACTGCCTTGACCCGCTGGTCACACCTCCCTTGATGCAGCACCCAGAGCCCATCAGCCATTCCAGCACCCACATCCAGCTCTTCGGCACAGAGCAAACCCCCACATCCCCCAAAAAATCACGGACAATCACGGCTGGGGATGCAGGTACTCGAGCCCGGTGCCTCGCACGCTCGACAGCCCCCAGGCAGTGACAGCAGTGTCCCCTGTCCCCCAGCCCCGCTGGCCTCGCGTCCCCATCCCCTGCACGCTGCTGCACTCACTGCTGTTGGTGGGCAGGGTCCTGCTGCCGCTGAGGCTGCCCGTGGCTGGCGGGGAGATGGAGCGGACGGAGCCCGTGTCGTCCTCCTGGGAGCAGCCTGCCTGGATAGCGCGGAGGTAGCTGTGGCTCCGGGATCGGAAGTAGCTGGGCAGAGGCAGGTCCAGCACCTCCGCAGCCGCCGACTCGGCCTCGCTGTAGGTGGAGTCGCAGACGGGCTCGTACTGCTCCCCCAGCTCCGGCTCGGGTGCCTGCACGGGGACAGGAGCAGCCCCGGTCAGCCCCTGCCCGCGGCCGCTTTCCCTTCCCCTCCCTTCCTTCCCTTCCCTTCCCTCCTGCTCCTCTGGCCACTGCTGCACGGCCCCGCTCATGGCAGGGGGCACGGGAGATGCAGTGCTCAGTGTTCAGAGCTCAGTGTTCAGTGTTCAGTGCTCAGTGTTCAGAGCTCAGTGTTCAGTGTTCAGTGCTCAGTGTTCAGTGTTCAGTGTTCAGTGTTCAGAGCTCAGTGTTCAGTGTTCAGTGCTCAGTGTTCAGTGTTCAGTGTTCAGTGTTCAGTGCTCAGAGCTCAGTGTTCAGTGTTCAGTGTTCAGTGCTCAGTGTTCAGTGCTCAGTGCTCAGAGCTCAGTGTTCAGTGCTCAGTGCTCAGAGCTCAGTGTTCAGTGTTCAGAGCTCAGAGCTCAGTGTTCAGAGCTCAGTGTTCAGTGCTCAGTGCTCAGTGTTCAGTGTTCAGTGTTCAGAGCTCAGAGCTCAGTGTTCAGAGCTCAGTGTTCAGTGCTCAGTGCTCAGTGTTCAGTGTTCAGTGCTCAGAGCTCAGTGTTCAGTGTTCAGTGCTCAGTGCTCAGAGCTCAGTGCTCAGTGTTCAGTGCTCAGTGCTCAGTGCTCAGTGTTCAGTGTTCAGTGCTCAGAGCTCAGTGTTCAGTGTTCAGTGCTCAGTGCTCAGAGCTCAGTGCTCAGTGTTCAGTGCTCAGTGCTCAGTGCTCAGTGTTCAGTGTTCAGTGCTCAGAGCTCAGTGTTCAGTGTTCAGTGCTCAGTGCTCAGAGCTCAGTGCTCAGTGTTCAGTGCTCAGTGCTCAGTGTTCAGTGCTCAGTGTTCAGTGTTCAGTGCTCAGTGCTCAGTGCTCAGTGCTCAGTGTTCAGTGCTCAGTGCTCAGTGCTCAGTGCTCAGTGCTCAGTGTTCAGTGCTCAGTGTTCAGTGTTCAGTGCTCAGTGTTCAGTGTTCAGTGCTCAGTGTTCAGTGTTCAGTGCTCAGTGCTCAGTGCTCAGAGCTCAGTGTTCAGTGTTCAGTGCTCAGTGTTCAGTGTTCAGTGCTCAGTGTTCAGTGTTCAGTGCTCAGTGCTCAGAGCTCAATGTTCAGTTCTCAGAGCTCAGTGCTCAGTGCTCAGTGCACAGAGGTAAAGAGTCAGTGGTCAGTGCTGCTGGGGCACAGGGTGCCCGGAGCTCTCTGCTGAGATAGGGAAGAGGGGCCCCTCCTTGGAGGTGAGAGGGTCCCTGCTTGTGGATCAGCAGTGCCTGTGAAACACCCCCGGTGCTGCTGGTCAGAACGTTTGGCTAAAATCCCAGTCCAGCCTCTGTCAAGGCCCCTGTCCCAGCACAGCTGGAACATCCCAGCCTCAATGTGAGACCCCACCGGGACAGGCTTGCTCCTCGTGGGCAACATGGGGAGACAGCAGGGGAGAGGTGTGGGCTGGGGGACAGCCCCCACACTTGCCTAGGATGGGTCTCAGAATCCATCCCAACTCCATCCCTAGCTTGGCTGTGGCCAGGGCTGAGCAGGGCACCTCTCCCACAGCCCTGCCTTGCTCTCCCGTGGCAGCTGCTGGGCAAACTTGGTCTTGGGAGAGGCTCAGCCAGGTCAAACCAGACCCAGCCCAGAGCAGACCATTCTGAAATATAGGTGAGAGATGCTGAGACTGGCCCACATCCATATTTCCTGGCCCTTTCTTTCTTCTGGCTCACAAGGACATTGTTTCTGCTCAGCACTGGCATCTGAGCTCCACGAGGTTTGGCTCAAGAAGTTCATCTGCTTTCCCCCTAAACTGATGGTCCCTGAGCCCCTGCTGGGCCCAGGACTCAAACTCTCTAGCTGTCTTGCAGTGCCCAGGTCAGGAGTGCTGTCTCCTTCTCCTCCTCTCTTCCTTCTCCTGCCACTGGCCTGGCATGGGCTGACCCTACAGCCTGCCTCACACCCTGCCGTGGGTGTCCAGGCTGGCCCCAGAAAGCTCTGTGAGGAAGGATGAGAGAAACACCAGCTGGACAATACCTGCTCTCCATGGGTAAATATCTGAGGGATAAGTGAGGGGGGTCCAAAGATCTGGAAGAAAGAGTTGGAGAAGGTTAAAGGCCAAGAACAGGGGAGCCCCTCACACAGACAGTCACTGCACAGGGACGGAGGACAAGGGCAGCAGGGGCTCGTCCCCTGGGGCCACTGCTGCTGACACTTCAGTACAAACTGCAGAGCTCGTCAGATGCCAAGCGAGGCCACACAGGCCCCTCAGACAGTGGCACGGACACGGCAAAGCTCCACAGGACACCTCAACCACGGGAGAAGCTGCTGAGCATTCAGCCTGCTGTGTGCACCATATCTGTGTATGCCCACAGGGAACACACTGTGCTGGGACACCCCTCTGCACGCAGGGGCAGCAGGACAAGGTGACGGTGGCTCCCACCGAGCACCTCACAGCCCACAGAGCCCGGGGTCAGGGTGCTCCATGTGGGGGAAGCTGGCCTTCAGCCTGCAGGGCTGGGCTGGCCACCTCGCTGCTGTCTCCCTGTGCCAGAAGAAGCCACACAGAAGCTGTCTGCATCCCCAGCAGAGCAAAGCCACGGCACACACTCGGCATACGGACAGACCCCTGACACACTGCGCTGCCCATGGGGGCATGGCTGCCTCCTCCACCTTCTCCTCCTCCTCCTCCTCCTCCTCCTCCTCCTCCTCCTCCTCCTCCTCCTCCTCCTCCTCCTCTCCACCCTCAGGGCTCTGCCTGGCACCACCTGCCCATGATGACCCCTCTTGGGAAGAATCCAGGTTCCAAGTGTACCTGAGGAAGAGGCTTGGCTCTTGGAATGGGCCTGGCCCTCTTGCACAGGGCACAGCTCATGGTGCGGCTTGGCAGTGCTGGGGTCACCAGCTCTGTCCCCCTCGGTGTGACAGGGGGTGCTGACACACGCCCTGGTGATCCCCAGGCTGCCAGAGGGCTGCACAGTGGAGCTGGATGGGGACAAAACCAAGCAGAGGGGACTTGTCTGTCAGAGTTGGGGGTGCTTCCATGTGGGAAGACACTGAGATCTGGCTGGACACACAAGGAAGGTGTTGGAGGTCACAGAAAAGTGAGGGCAGGGCAGGAACTGGGATGGATGAGACCAGCATGCACTGGTGGATGAACCAGCTCCATCCTAGATCAACAGACGTGCAGTTTGTGGGAGGCCTCTCAATCCCAACCAGCTGCAGCTGAATTCTCTGCTTATCAGGGGACAGAGTGCACATGATGGCAGCAGCCCCCTGTGTGAGTGGGTGCTGTGGCAGTCGGGGTGCCCCCAGCAATCCCAGTGCCACCAGTCTAGCTCTGGGCTGGCTGCCTGCGCAGCTCCTGGCACATCATGGGCTACTCAGACCCTTCAGCTCCACAACCCTCCTGATGTCTCCATGGGGGTGCTGCACTCAGCTCCTGGAAGCAGCTCTAGACATGGATAGAGCACAGACCCATGGTCTCCTGCAGAGACTTCAGCACGGACTGACACGCAAAGGACGAGGACACGACGGTCCTGACCCCGCTGTGCACTGAGACACCCAGCACATTGCTGCTGCTGCTGCACAAGGGACAGGACTGACCACAGGGAACAGGAATGCCCCGCAATGCCCCTGCACCCCCGAGCTCCAACCGCTCTGGGATAGTGGGACGCTCTAGCCAAGGGGCTCAGAGCCCCGCACACCTGGGTGGGAACACAGGCAGGACATGCCTTTTTCCCCCCTCACCCCAGAGCTCCAGACACCCACCCCGCTGCTCTGGCCCCCCCTGCACACACAGAGCAGATGTGTGGGCACATGCTCCCATGCAGACACACAGGAACAGATGGCACAGAGGCCCAGGGTGACAAGGCTTGCTGGGCAAAGCTGTGGAGCCATTGCTGCCCTGTGGGGAAAGGGCTGAGATGAGCACATGGGACCTCTGCGAAGACTCATCCTGGCACCAGTTATCTCCCAGCCTGGGAGGCAGCTCCAGAGCAATCCCAGCTCCAGGGAGCTCCAGAGCAATCCCATAACCATAGTGTGGAAGTTAGACCCATTTTGCATCAACTGCATCCCAAATGTTGTGGTTGAGGCATGAACCCGCCTTGTGACAAGGGGTTTGCCACCTTCTGCCAGCATCTCACAGGAATGCTTGGCTTTGCCATGGGGCCCAGGAATATGCAGAAGAGACATCCCCAGCTGGCTGGCAGGACAGCCTCCCCAACTACAACCACCTTGTTCCTGGGTCCAGTCTGCTGCATGAGGGGTGAGATCCTGAGCTGAGCAGGGTGACTGTCCCCGCTGACCCTGCAGGGTCCCAGGCTGGACACCACCAGGCAAGGTTGGTCCTGCCTCTGGACCCACCCAGTGGGCACGAGGAGCTTGCAGCAAGGTTGAACAGCCTTGAAGATGGTTCTGGGGTGTGACACAATGAGATCCTGCACCCAGAGCAGCCATGAGCTTCCCACAGCACTGTGGGGCACCCCCTGGGTTACCATACCTGTGGCAGAGGGATTTTGGCTGCACCAGCAGTGTGAGAGGAGGCAAAGCTGCAGGGAGGAGGTCTGATACAAATCCTGATTAAAGAGCTGGCCATGACACATTGGTAAAGCTGCCAGGGAACAGCCTGTGCAGTTCCTGGAGCACAGCCAGTGCCCTGTTTTGAAGAGGGAAGAAGATGCTCCCTCTCCCCCGAGCTGGCCTCCTCCCTTGCTGGGTGTGCCAGCACAGTGGGTCAGCACTTCAGCACCTCACCTGGTTAATGCAGCTGGACTCGTTGACACTGTCAGAGATCTGGTTGTATTCTTCCTCCCAGGTCGGGAACTTCGGAGGTAGAAGGATCTCAACAGAGTCCAGGCGGTCCAGGCTCCTGCCAGCAGAGAGAAGGTGTGAGGGTGTCCCCATGGCAGGGGCAGCGCTGGGGCAGTGCTGGGGCAGAGCCAGATCACCCCTGCCCAGAGCCCCTCTGCCAGGCACAGGCACCAGTGCATGCATGGCAGCACTGAGATGATGCTGGGCACTGCATCCACTGCTTGGCTCCAGGAGAAGGCAGCACTTCCTCACCCTGCTGGCCCCTGCTGGGGCATGGCACACAAGGAAAGGGTTCTGGGGCACAGTGGAAGGAGAGGGGCAGGATTTTATGTCCTGCTGTCCCCAAGAATGCACTGCAGATACCAAGTTAGTCCAGCTGAGCCCCAGGGAGCATGTGGGATCTGTGCCAGTCTCCAGTCACAGAACTGCCTGGATTACTGGAAAAGTGGGGAGAGGCAGGGTGAGAAATTACTTTTAGTTTGTATTTTGTGGACTTTGCAATTGGAAACAACTGCAAGATACATATATATACATTTGTGTAGAGGAACCCAAAAGATTATCTGTGAGAAGTCCAGTGAGAACCTGGCTGGAATGACAATGCTGCATGAGCAGGAGATCAGTATTTCCAGTACAGATTTGCTAGAAGAAACTGCCACTATGTCCTGGGCTGCAGCAGCAGGCTCTGCACAGGAGGAGAGCAGGGCTCTCACTGAACCTGACGCAGCCCAGACCTCAGCTGAGACCCAGGCACATGGGGGCTGTGAGGGATGGGGAAGGATGGGCCACAACACCCTGTGTGAAGGAGTCCTGGTTGCAGGCTGGGTGCACATGGTGGGGGACTTTGTCAGCCCCAGTAATCCGGGACAGCGGGGGGCCTCTCCCTCTGGAATTGCCTGTGATCCCAACAGAGGCCCTCATGCTGCCGCTACCCCCTTTCACCTGCCAGGGCCGTGGGTCCAGAGGTGTGATTGTCACCTGCCTGGGGACAGCAGAGCTGAGGGCACGGCAGGCCCTGTACAGCATGTGGGCATCCCACAAGGACTCTGAGGTGTCCATCCCGGGGTGGGATGGGAACAGGGAATTATCCTTCTGCTAGGGGAGAACCAGGCCACATGGGGACTAAGGGCACCACTAGCCCTGGGCTCTGTGCTGACTGCCGGGTTCCCTCGTGCTGAGGGTTCCATCCCTGAGCTCACCCCATGAACCAGCCTCGTCCCGGGGTGGGCAGTGTGCCCGTGCCCCCCCACCGGCCCCCACCCCGCCTGCCCACGGGGAGACCACAGAGGAGGGGCAGAGGAGCGGCTCTGTGCCTTCCCGGCTCAGGCTGTCCCTGCAGACCCACGTCCCAGCCGCAGGGACAGCCTGAGCCGGCTCCCTCTGCCGCCGGGCTCGGGGCTGCGGCTGGGCCCGAGGGCCGGGGCCCGGTCACCAGATGGCGGCCGCGCTCCGCTCCCGGCTCCGGGCCCGCTCCGGCTTCGGGCCCGGTTTTATTCCCGGCTCTATCTCCGCTCCGGCTTCGGGCCCGGTTTTATTCCCGGCTCCGGCTTCATGCCCGGTTTTATTCCCAGCTGTATCCCCGGTTCTATTCCTGGCTCCAATCCCTGCTCCATTCTCGGCTCTGTCCCTGGCTCCAGCCCCGGCTCTGTTCCCGGCTCTGGCCGCAGCCTGTCCCGGACAGGGTCCCGCAGGGTGCTGCCCCCCCAGAGCTCCTGTGGGACGAGCCCTGCCCGGAGCCCCCCGCAGCCACATCTCTGCTGTCCTGAGCCGTCCCCAGACCTTTCCCCGCACTGTCCCGGCTCTGGCTGAGCCCAGTGCTCGGGGCAGGCCACATCTCAATGGACACGGGCTGGATGGACGATGTCCAGGGCAGAAAGAGCCCCAGCCTCTCTGTTTTTCACCAGACATTCCAGGACTCCAGCCTGCTCTCCTGAGGCAGATTTGAAGGCTTGGAACAGGGATGGATCCAGAGCAGACACTTCTAGGGCTCCTCATACCTGATTTTGTCACCATCTCCCAGCAGAAAGCAGCACCTGGTCTCAATGTGAAGGCTCTGTGAGGTGTCCCCACACTGGCTACACCCCACTTCCCTCACTGTGCTGAGCCTCAGCAGTTCATCCCTGGTGGCTCCTGCTTTTCCCTGCCCCTCTGTACCACTCTGGACCGAGCTGCAGCATCTGGAGCCCTGACAGCCCCCAGATGCCTTGTCCTGGGCATGGAGCAGCTGCTGAGGACACTGCACAGCATCACTGCCCAGGCGATGCAGAGCCCATCCTGCAGGACCAGCCTCTGACCCAACAAAGCCGCTCTGCTCCCCTGGCTTTGTTTTGCTCAAACCACTGTGGGTCTTCCTCTCTCAATATCTGGTGCCAAACCTCTCAGCCCCTCAGGATATCATCCAGTGTTCCAACTTTCTGGCTGGTCACAAGGTCCCTGGACACCTCTGGAGCAGAGCAGCTCCAAGCACAGTTCCAGCAGGCCGATGTTCTCAGCCATGCCAGGTGAGCAGCTCCCATGGCCAAGGGGGATCTTGGGGTTGGGATCTCTGCATTCCCCCAGAGCAGAAGATGCTTGGGGAGGAAATTCCACATCTCCATCAGGAATGCTGTCCCCATGGCTGAGGGGACAGGGACCTGAAGCAGCTCCTAATGCCAGAGCTACTGGGAATCACCAGGATGGGGAGCCCAATCTTCTCCTGTTCTGCTTGTCTCCTCATCTTTCTGTTAGAGCTGGGATGCAGGAGCCCTGCTGGGCTCTAATGCCACATGGGGCCTCTGTGGGGTGCTGCAACCCAAGGACTGCTCCCGGGGTGGCCCTGAGGACCTCCAGAAACACTCCAAAAGTGTTACCTTTGTGTGGTGCTCTGCTCACTCAGGGACTGTTGGGTGGCCTTGAGGTAACTCTGCCTCCGAGCTGCAGTTTTCGGGGATGGTTTGGGGCTGGTTTCTGAGTCTTCGCTGTCATCATCCCCCATGGCTTTGATGTAACTCCCGCTCCGCATGCGCCGGCACGGGATCTCGCTGTCCTTGTCCCGGGACAGCGTGTTGTTCCACTCCCCGTGAGGCACCTGCAGGAGGAAGGGCAGAGTGAGCAGATGTGAGGGATGGCACACACCCGTGATCCTGGGACCCTCAGGATCACGGGGAATTGGGGAGATTGTTGGGCTTTCCACTGTAGTGTAGTGGGAATAAGCAACACAATTCCTTCACAACCCTCCCTTACCAGTTCATGCCAGGCAGCCCTTGGTTTGGTGGCCTCTGTTTTAGCACATCACAGCCATTCCCCACCACTGGCCACCTCCATCCCAGACATGCTCACACAGTCAGGACAAGCTGCACGATGCCAGGCGTAACAGGGGGAGGAGGGGATGGTTTCGCTGGGCCTGTGTGGGGCACTGGGACAGGGCTGGACGTGTGTGTTCATCGCACAGACCATGTCACTGAACATAAAAGTGCTGTTGTTGGAGCAGGGCTTGGGGCTCAGAGCCCAGACCTTCATGGGCTCTTTAAGGTTTTGAGTTGTATGTGACTCTGAGTGGCTGAAATTACTTTCTGAAACCAAGTCAGGCTCTCACAAGTCTCCCTAGAGCAGCTTGGGCACACAGACCTTGTGCTGGCCTCTCTGCAGAGAGAAATGAAAAATGAAAATGAAAATGAAAAATGAAAAATGAAAAAATGAAAAGCACTTCTAACCCCACCAAGATGACAACTCCACAATTAACTTAAGGCAGATATGGTCTCTTGTTCCCTCACTAGAGAGGAGTGAGCTGGTGGTGCCACAGGAGGCCTGAAGCCCTGAGCAGCCACAGAAGCCACCACACCACCTTCCCATCCTGTGAAGGGTTTGTGGGGTGGACCAGAGGCAGAGCCAAGGTGCCCAGGACTGACCAGGGTGAGCCACATGCAGTATGGGACAAGTCAGGAGAAAGATGGGGAAGCCCAAATTTCCAGGAGCAAGCCTTGGCTTTGTGGCTCACTTGGATTGCTGCTGGCCTTTGTCTTGCCCTCGAGGACATGGCCAAGGAGCAGCCAGACCAGATGTGAGGATGCAGCAATGTTCATGCCATGCCAGTGCCAGGGCAACCCAGGGCCACCCAGACTGCTCCAGCAGCAGCTGGGGATGCCATGGGGAGCAGTGACATGTCTTTTCCTGAGAACAACTTGTGCTAATGAGAGATTCCACCTTGGCCCTGCTGGATGGAGCTGCTGGACCTGCCCAGCTGCCCAGGGAGCTGTGGGACTAAGCAGCCATAGCTCACACAATGCTCTGGGGATGCAGGGCTGTGGTGCAGCCATGATGAGACAGAGCCTTGTGGTGCCTGCTCCCATCTCTGCTCCCAGCAGGGCTTCTATGGGAGCCAGAGCCGAGGTTGTGTCTGATGCTGCTGGGTTGTGGCACCTTCAGGTGAGGTTCAGGTCTGCAGGCGCTGCAGGCTGTGTCCATGTGCAGGCTCAATCCACACACCACAGCCGAGGGCTTTCTCCTGCCCGAAGGAGCAGGGACTCAGCCCATGTCCTGCCAGCTTGCTCCATGTGTCCACTCTGTGGAACAGGCTCCAAACCACCCTTGGGGCTGCTTTGGTGACTGGCCCCTGCCTGGAGTGTGCCCATGACCCAGCACCCACATTCCTGGGGGATGTGGAACAGGGTCAGGGCTGATCCAGGTGTGTGAGATCCAGCTGGGGACCAAAGCAGAGAGAGTTTTCCACGAGGCACACACTGGCCAGTGCGTGTCCTCCTTGGACCCACTTGCTGCTGGTGTGGATTCTCCCAGCTCTGTTCACCCTGCTCCTGCAATCTTTGTGCTTGGCCATGGCTCCCAGGCTGGCTGCTTACACAACTGTCCAGCTCGGGGGCTCTGGGTGTCATCCATCAGGTCCTTATAAATGCAAGAACTGAGAACCCTTTCCCTGCTGGGTGTGAGTGCTGCCTCTGCCCCAGCCTCTCTACAGGTGGCCTTGGGGCCATGAAGGACCCCACTGGTTCCACCTTAGTCTTGCCACTGGAAGGATGCCACAGGTCACTGGGATGCCTGGCTCTGACCCTTTCTGAAGCAGACAAGGACCCTGAGAATCACTTTTATATCAATCACCTTGGTGTCAGGTCTGACTGGAGACTGCATTTCACTGCCTCTCTTCTCCTTAGACTGAGCTGCAGCTTCTGTTTCTGGGGTCTGGGTCAGCATGGGGCTGGAGAGGGCAGGCAGGGCTGGTGGAGGGTGGCAGAGCTGGAGAGGGGTGGCAGGACAGGGACTGAAAGGACAGGGACTGCCCAGCTGTCCCTGTGCATGGCCAGTGCTGGATGCTGTGGGGCAGTGAGGGGTGCTGAGCTCAGCCCAGGACAGTGGGGGCTTTAAGACCTCAGGGTCCTGCAGCTGCTCTGCTGCCACTGCTCGAGGGCACAGGCTGGGGCTGCTCAGTTCTGCCATGGCTGCTGCATTTGCCTCCCAGCCTCGGGCTCTCTGGGCACAGCAGCACAAAGACAGTTCCATTGTGTCTCGCTGGTGGTGCAGCCCCAGCACTGCCTGCCCCACTGGGACCTGTCCCTCTCCCAGGAACAGCCTCCCTGGGGCATCATGACAGCGCCTGGTCCTGACCAAGCTGCCTTAGTCCTTCTCTGCCTGCCTCTCCTCTGCTTTGTGCCCTGGCAAGGCAGCAGGACACAGAGCTGCTCTCAAGGTGCTCCACATTGCAGCAGTCAGGGGGAAGGAAGGTGCTTGGGAGGACACGCTCTGAATCTGCTGCCCTACTTTGGAGCATGTCCCACCTCTGCCTGCACAGAGTCCATTGGGACTCCCACAGCTCTCGCTCAGGGACAGACAGAGCGGGCCAAGTGTTTTGTGTCACACCTGCAAAGGCAAGCTGGTGTCCTCGGGGCCCTGCAAAAGCAGTACAGGTCCTTTGGGTGCTGTTCAGGGTCCTCTGGGGTGCTTCTCCGCAGGAGGATATGAAGAGGCTGTCCCACAGTCTGAAACTCTGAGATGGAGGTGATGAGCAGCTTCTGTGACCAAGGACAGACCTGAGAGTGGCCAGTGCAGCTCCTCGATGGCAGCAGAGTTCCTGGCAGGTGAGACCTGGGGCTCTGAGCACAGACTGTGTGTCATACCCGTGTGGGGATGAGGGCACCTAGGCCAGGCACAGGGCAGCTCCTCACAGGTGGTGGAGCTCTGCTGCCATTCCTGCTGCTCTCCCAGGTGTGGCCTTGGCTCTGCCCATCGTGCTTTGGGTGGTGTGGAAGGAGTGGGAGTAAGAGGATGCCCAGGTCTGGAGACTTTATGGGGACTTGGGGGCTGCAGGATGTGGGTCCTTCCTTGTGCCCAGCCATGGTCCATGTGGTGCCATGTGGTGCAGGGATGTGGGATCCAGGCAGGTGTCCACCCGTGGAGCTGAGCTCCACTGCATTGTCACCAGGTGCTGCAGTCACCAACCAGCAGCACCGTCTGGCTCTGCTGCTCTCCTGCCATGACCAGAGTGTGGAGGGAAAAGGGAAGGGGCCACAGGGCTTCCTTTGGGGCATCCCCCAGTCCCGGGAGCACTAACAGAGTGGGGAGTGGGGGGAAGGGGAAAGCTCCACTCCTGGGCTCTGGCAGGAGCTGCAGCGCACCCTCCACTCGGGGCAAGTCAGGGGGAAGAGACTCAAGGAGCAAACAGGGTTTCCATCACACAAGTGCCAGCTCTGCCATGCAGCCCAGACCCCCACACACGGACATGCAGCACGGGAACGCCTGCTGAGCATTCCAGGGGTGCATGGGCCATGCACAGGCTCCACTGCTGCGGGCACAGCGCTGCTCCCTCGGCGGCGGTGTCCCTGGTGCTGTCCCACAGGCCCAGCCATGTCCTCAGGAAAGCAAGCTGGAGCCAGGCTGTCCCTCTGGCAGGGCACCCTCTGGGAAGGACCTGGGCTGTATTCCTGCTCCATGGCAGCTCGGTGGGGCTGGTGTGAGACACTGAGCATCATGGAGCGGCTGGCACTGAATAGGCCACCCACTCTGCATTATGAATTATTTTCAGGGCTCCTGGGGGTTAAGGAAGCTCTGGTGTGGTCTGACTATAGGTGGGGTTGGGGAGGCTGACATGGATAATGCATCAGGTTAATGGTGACTGTTCCTTTGGAGCCCCCACATTGCCCATCCCTTCAGTGCTGTCTGCAGATCCACAGCTCCTGCTCACTCTTGCCTGGGGCATCTCCCACTCCAAGGAGCTTCTCAGCCTCTTTCGTTGTACTCTCTGTTGCATATGGGGCCCATGGGAACAAGGGAACAGGAGATGGGGAGCACAGCCTCCCTCCTTGGGGACTGTGCTCTAAGGATGGAGCTGTGTCATCCTAGGGACTGATCCAAGAGACCCCTACCCTGATGGGACAGGGCTGGACCTGGAGCTGAGTGATCACCAGCTTCAACTCCTGGGTATGGATGTTTCCAGGGTCTGGAAACATCACACAGACCCCCAGTAGTTGCTGATGAATCCCCAAAATATCCAGACCCTTCAAATAGGGCAGGAGAGGTGAATAGCCTTGGGGGCTTATCCATCCTGGATGTCCTGTTTGTCCCCATCCCACTCCTGCCCTCCCTCATGGCCCTGCACCTCTGGCACCCACTGGGCATTTCTGCGTGGCAGCAGCCCCCTCTGCATGGCCCCTGTGTCCCCCAGGCACTGGGAAAGCAGATCCTTACTGTTCCTCCCCCTGGCACAGGGAGGGAGAGGGCTCGCCCTGTCCCCAGCTGTGACAGGAGACGTGTGACCTTGCAAAAGGACATTCCCCACACACGAGCTCCTGAGGTGACTTCTCCATTGCCTCTCCTGTGCCAAGGCAGGATACAATGACCCCATCTTCCCATGAGATGCCTGAGACCCGTGCCCTGATCTTTGGGGCTGACACTGGGCACCTGGGGACAAGGTGAGCCCAAACACCTGTGACCTGTCAGCTTGTGGGGGCACCAGGCATCATGTTTTTGGGACTGGTTGCCCGGGGTCTTGGTTCTGGTGGTGAACTCCTGGTGAACCGAGCACAGGGCCTGCCCCAGGCTCTGGGGATGTTGGTCACACCCCGGTGTCACCCAGTGCCCCTCCAGCCATGCCAGTCGTGGCTGTTGGCTGCTCCCTGCCTGCTCCAAGTCCAGGCCAGGCTGCTGCCCCTGGCCAGTGGTCCCAGGAGCGTCAGAGCGGGAGGGAGCTGGGCAAAAGCTCCTCCTCAAGACAAGATCCCTACCTGGGCGCTGCCTGCGTCGGTCGGCCCGGGGCTGAGGGGCTGGTCCCAGCTCCGCGGGGCACCCGTGTCCTCCCAGCCAAGCGGTGGGGCTGCCCAGCTGCTGGCCAGGCCCGTGCCACCCAGCTGTGCCCACAGCCCTGCGTCAGGCTGTCGAGAAATGGAGGCTCATTACATGGGGGGAAGGAGCAGGGCGGCCTTGAACCCCAGAGCCCAGGGGCTGTTGGGGCTGCCTGCTGGGCTCTGTGCTGCAGCCTGAGGGGAACAGGGCCCTTGGAGGGCTTGGCTGCAGCTTTTTAAACTCAAATGCTTAACTGGTAGGAGCAGGGGTAAAGAAAAAGAAACCAGGCCAAGATCATTTTCCCTGCTGGTGTTCCTGATGCAGTCAGTTCAGCCCCTTGGAAATTTGATTTGCAGCTGTGGCCAGTGAAGTATTGGAAGCCGAGCGTGCTTCAATAATTCATCACTTTTTTAAAGCCTTTAAACCCACTGGGCACAGCCAGGGAAGCCCCTGGCACCTCTGCATTAAAAGGATGTGAGAGATTTACATAGACAGACTGGTCCCCTACTGCCCCCCCATCCAGGCCTGGCTTATTTGTCTTCATTCCTCTCTCTAGGGCACAACCAGGTTCATGTTGCTCCAGTGCCACTTTTGGAACCTGCCACAGACCTGGAGCTGCAGGTGCCAGGGTTTCAAGCCAGCATCAGCCATGCAGGCCATGCAAGCGGGGCTGGCACTGCCCTGCTGCCCCAGCCCTGCCCCACGGGCGAGCAGCGAGGCGCTGCCAGTCCTACCAGTGCTCCGGGGAAGCTGGGCAGAGCGGGGCTGACCGGGCACGCCGGCACATCCTTGCGATGCGTGGAGATAAGGGGTGAGCATTAGTTAGTGCTGCTGACCTTCAGCCCGGGGGCACAGGGGTCTCCACGGGGGCCTGGGCAGCTGTGTCCGGTGAGACGCGGCCCCTCGGCATTCCCGGCCGTGTGGGCACTCAGGGGACACAGCCACGTGGGGCAGCTACATCCCCACCTGCCCAGTAGTGTCCCCCAGCACCTGCAGGGCCTGGGCAGGCATTGGGAACACGTGGGAGGCCTGCAGGAAATGGGATCACATCCAGCACAGGAGGTGGGGTGGCGTGTCCCCTCCACAGTGTCACGGTCCAGCACAGGGACTGGGGGTGCTGGGACCGCAGCTGTGGGAGATGGACCCCATCAGCGCCCGTGTCCCCGCAGGGGGAGCAGGGCTCTGTTCCCATAGCCCTCCCCAGCCCTCTCCTGGCAGTGTGACCCGAGGTGGCAGCTGAATGACCTGGAGATGTTTGATAAGGTCACACGGGTGCCCACCAAGAGGATGTCCCTGAACTCCCGTGCTCCCCTGCAGAGAGAGCACCCCGTATTCCCCCACAGCACCCACCTGCAGGTAGTGGTAGGCCAAGTCCTGGTGGCAGGACTTGGATTTGAGCAAGGCTTTGTCAATGGTGGCGGAGGCCTTCTGGCACACCTCCCGGGCATGGCTGAGCGTCAGCGTGGACCAGGAGCCCCGCTTGATGTAGTTGGAGTCATTGTTGATGGGGATATTGGTGCAAGGGGTGACCTTGAGGTCGTTATTGCTCTTGGAGGATTTCAGCATGTGCTCGCTGATGGTGTTGTAGGCGTGCATGAAGTACTTTGGCTGGCTGTGGTCGGGCTGCCGGCCCAGCGTCATCAGCCCCATGGGGTTGCGGTAGCTGCAGGTGTCGCTGTCCAGGTTGTCATCGGAGCTCCACCAGCCGGAGATGTTGGACCTGGTCCTGCGCTTGGGTTCGGAGGTCTTTGCCCGGTCCTTGCTCTTGCTCCTCCGGTTTTGCTTGGCGTCATCTGCCCCCTTCTTCCCATTCACGTTGCCCTTGCTGGGGCCCTCCAGAGACTGGGACTTGGCGAAGAGCTTCTGCACGGAGTGCACGAGGTGCCGGATGCGCCCCGGGCTCTCGCTGCGGTGCTTCGCGTCGCTCCGCTGGAACTGGAGGGTGCTGAAGCCGTCCCTGTGGATGGGCAGCTGCTTCTCAAACTGGTCGAGGAGGTTGGCAGGTAGGCGGTTGATCTTGGTGGCTTGGGCATGGCTCGGAAAAGGGTTGTCATCTGGGACCTCGAAGTGGGAGTTGTAATGGATGCGAGGGAAAGTGCTGCTGTTGGAGATCTGGTTGTTGAGTGGAAGGAGACAGTCGCCATGGACGGTGTTCTGGGTTGGGAATCGGGGATCCATGGTGAAGGAGTCGGTGGGGCTGAGGAGATAAGGGTTCCTGTCCTGGGGGGCATAAAGAGAGTCTTGAGGGGAGTCCAGGTTATCGGAGAGATGGCGGCTTCTGTTGTCTCCTAAGCCCTTCATGGTCCCAGTGCTTCCTAGACCATGGCTCAGGGACGGTGTGGCAGAGCCCTCGCAGACCTCCCTGCAGCTGGAGGAAGAGGACAGATGCTGAGAGCCCACTGGGAACCCCTCTGGCAGCCTGCTCCTCACTGGGGGCACATCCCTGTCCCCCTCTGAAAGCAAATGCCACCACGGTTAAGGGACAAAGGAGAGAAGCAGGATGGAAGAGGCAGGAGGAGAAGGGGTGTGAGACCAGGGGCTGGAGAGAGCAGGGCCCAGCAGAGGAGGGGCAGCATTCACGTTCCCACTGCAGATGCAGAGCTCGTGTGCCTCAGTGCCCAGCCACAGGCCGCTTACCAACACTGCTGCTGCTGTTGTGGTGCTGCATGTGGTTATTTAACAGCACTCCCTCCCCAGCAGCGTGACAGAGGCACTGCCAGCAGGTCCCTGCTCTGCCCCATTTGCTCAGGGGGCTGGAGGAAATTCTGCTGCCAAAGCCCAGCAGGTCCTGCTGAGCCCAGGCCGTCTGCAGCCGGGCACCCCAGCTTTGCAGGGTGCCTGGTGTTCCCGAGGTGATGGATCTCAGGGCTGGCACAGCTCCTGCAGCTGTGCTGATGTGACACGATGGCAAACACATCCTCTCCAGCCAGTGCTGCCTTCCTGGCAGGTTCTGCCCTGGAGCATGGTGTGTCAGTAGCTCTGTAAGAGCTGAGGTGTTTCTGAGCACTCAGAGCCTGAGCTGAGAACCTGTTGGCTGCTCAGACAATTCCTTCTGGGCTGCACCTCTCCTGGGGAGCTGTGTCACCTGTGCCACCCTCCCAGCCAGCCTGTCTGTCCCCTCTGCCACAGTCAGGGGCTGGGGCTGGTCCCTTCCTTTCAGCAGGAATGGGATCCCTGTGGGATGCTGGAAAGGCAGCTGGGACAGAGGGATCCCCTGAGGGATCCTCACTGAACATCTCCACACTGGTCTTGCCCCGTCCTTCTTGGTTCGGAGGGATCCTCATCTTTACTGTATTATACAGGGAAAAATGACAAACCTTTTAGATTTGCTTAAAAGAAAAAATCAATGAACATTTATATGAGTTGAGCTGTCAATCAATAAGTTGATTTTCCATACTTAAAACCTACTTAAAATTACAGAATGTATAAGTGAACTCTTATTTTCTGTTACCTTTTAGTTTAGTTTCTCAGTTCCTTTTTGGTTTAGTTTGAGTGTTACTTAAAAAAGAGAGGGTGACTTTTAACACCTGCAGATGGTATGTCCCTGTGAGGAGCAGAGTTGGCAGTCTGTGCTCCTGGCTTCTCCCTTTCAGCCATGAATTGGTCTCCAGTCTTCTCGAGGGACTTGTCCCCCACATGCAGCTTGGCCAGCAAAGTGGTGTGGGAGCGAAGTCAGTGACAACTGCAGGGTGGCAGGAATCAACAGGCTTGTCTTCCCCACTCAGGGAAAAATGTATTAATAATGAAAAGCAGCCAGAGCTTTAAATAATTGTTTGGAAGCAAAAAAAAAGAGAAGAAAACAGAAAAAGAAGTGGAATTTATTCCATGGCTTGATGGGCTTTGCAGTGTCTAATTCTGTCACTCCTAGTGGGTTGGCAGAGCCAAGCTGGATGTTCTAAAGTTGGTGTGCACAGCCTGGGCTTCCCATCCTGCTCCAGTAGAGACTCCAGTCCCCCTCCCCTGAGCCCTGCTCCCGAGGGTTCTGGCCAGCCTGACCTCAGCCCACCTGCCCTGAGGCACTGCCCCCTGCCCCCTGCCCCCATGGCAGCTGCCCAGAGCTGCTCCCTGGCCATGCCAGGACCCCACATCGGGCTTGTCTGGCCCTGACCTGAGCCCTGGCAGAGGCTGCACGGCCCCATGGAGTGACTCCTCCTCTCCTACTGCTGAGCTGCTCCAGCTGCCTTCAACTCCAGGCCTTGCCCTTCCCTGTGGTCTGGGCTGTGCTGCTCTGGGAGCCGAGATCTGCCCCTCTCCACCATGCACACAGTGGCCAGGCATTTGGGGGATGGGGACATGGCCTGAGCTGGGAAATGTTGATACCAACCCTGAACTTTCTGCCCAAACACCAAATGCAGCCTTAGCCTTGACTGAGGCCCAGGTGCTTCTGGTCCCTGTGGGTGTGATCCTAATTCCTGCTGTGCTCTCCAGCAGCATCAGCCCCCCGGAGTCCCCTGCCCATGGGACCCACTGGGCTGGTGGACCTGGGCTGGTGCTGGCTGCAGGTGCCAGCAGGGAGGCTCAGGATGTGCCAGCCGGCATCCACAGTGCTCACAGAGTGGTGACAGAGAACCCCAGGTGATGTTCCCAGAGGAAACCCTCCAGGCAGAGGGGAAGGATGGGGTGTAGGACAGGCTCCAGGCTGAGCTATTGATCTGATTTCCAGATGGCTTTGGATGGCCAAGCTCCACCTGCACACCTTGGAGGGGAATCCCTGCAGGAGGCAGAAGCTCAAATCTGCCCAGAACACCACCCTGAAGTGCCCAGGCTCAGCTCTGCCTGCCCACAATTGTGACCCCTGGTCACAATTTCTTTCTTCCTTTCTTCCTTTCTTCCTTTCTTCCTTTCTTCCTTCCTTCCTTCCTGGAAGAGGTCAGCCCAGGGTCATTGCAGAAGGTCACAGCAAGGGCTGCCAGGGTCAGGACAGGACCCCTGAGCCCATGGAAAGGGACTGGTTTCACCCCATTACCTCTGTTCCCCTCAGCCTGTTTTCTCAAGACTGCCCTTGCTGTTCTCAGTGGCTCTGCTGATACTCAGAGGGGATGAACTGACCTGAGCTGAGCTGATTTATGGCACTTTTGTGTGTACCTGATCCCAGCCAGAGGCAGCTTCTTGGGCTTGGTTCACAGCCTGTGGGTTTGGATGGGCTGCATCCAGCAGCACCTCCAGAAGCTCCAGACACCAGGCAGGGGTTGCAGTCACAGAACAAAATTCCTGAGTGGTTTGGGATGGAGGGCCCAACCTCCAGCCTATCCTGCAACCTCCTTAAAGCCTACCCAGTTCCATCCCCTGCCATGGGCAGGGACACTTTCCACTAGAGCTGGAAGGTTGCTCCAAGCCCCAACCAACCTGGCCTTGGACACTTCCAGCCATGGTCTCCAGCCATGTCAGGGACCACTGGCTGTGATCAGCTTCTGTGCTGGGGCTCTGCACCACAGGGGAATTGGGCAAACCCATCATGCCCCCTCCTCTTTAACTTCTGGGGTGGACATGGATTTCAGGAGATGCTGCACTATTTCTATTGTCTTAAATGCTACAAATCCATCTTAGACCAGCTTATCCTGAGGGCAGAGAGAAGGCAGAGAACAGGGCAGACTCCCTGCCCTCTCTCAGCAAGGAGGGGGCAGCAGGAGGAGCCTCTCAGCCTCACCCCACTGCTCTCTGCTCCCATCTGTTCCAGGATCTCTCTTTGCAGCTGGCTGGCATTTGCCAGCCCAATCTGTGGCAGAGGCCCTGGGAAGGCTCAGCCCTTCTCACCAAGCCTGGCAATCCCAGGGAGCTCTGAGAGCACCCCACACTCACCCAGATTTCTGCTCCTTGCACGTGCACCTTGGGACTTTAGCCAGAAGTGTTCTACAGGTGTGTGGATGTGGCACTTGGGGACATGGTTTAGTGGTGAATGTGGTAGTGCTGGGTCAATGGTTGGACTCCAGGAAGGCTTTTCCAGCCTCACTGATTCCATGGGGGCACACACAGCTCCATGTGGCTGTGGGGTGTGTGTGACACGGTGCTGTGTGTGACATGTGGTGGATGCCCAGGTGTTTGGGATGTGGAGGTGTGCACCTGTGGCTGGGGTGCCCTGGGTGTTACAGGGCTCGTGCAGAACCAGGGAGTGCTGGGCTGGGAGCTCATTTCACCCTCCATGGGCAGCTCTGTGCTGCCTCCCCCCTGCCCTTTGCCCTGCCCTTGGCACACATGTGCCATGCAAGGACTCCCTGTCCCCTCCCTGGCCACCCATGGCTGCCACAGCTGAGCAATGCCTTGACCCAGAAAAGAGCACTTGAAGAGCTCTCCAAGTGGTGCTGAGGCCCTGGCACAGACAGCTGTGGCTGCCCCTGGATCCCTGGCAGTGCCCAAGGCCAGGCTGGATGGGGCTGGGAGCAGCCTGGGATAGTGGGAGGTGTCCCTGCCATGGCACTGGATGGGCTTCAAGGTCCCTTCCAACCCAAACCATTCCAGAATTCTCTGCTTCCCTGATTCCATGTATGACTGAGGCAGGGCTGGCTGGAAAGGGCCAGGAGCCACTTGGGTGATGCTCAGGAGAAGCTGGCAGCACGTCAGGAGGAGCAGCAGCTCCTCCCAGTAAATCCAGTAAAATGGGATTGCTCAGAGCACACATCCTCCAGGAAGATGCCAGCCCTGGGCTGATGGGGCTGGGGGCACCCTTTGGGGTCAGCTGGTCCTGCCCTCTGCCCATCAGCTCTTCCAGGGCTCCACATCCCCCAGGCTCCCACACAAATCCCAGCCCAGCCATCCAGGCCAGCTGCAAACACAGAGGTGGCTTTATATCTGGAACCAGCAGCACAATAATGACGGGCTGGAATCGGCAGAGATGATTTACAACCTGCAGGGGGAAAATGCCTCCCCTCTCTGGGCTGCAAGGAGCTGAAAGGATTTGTGTGCTGTGGTGCAGGTGACGTGGGGCTGCCCACACGCTCGGAGCCAAACGCTCCCTGAGTTAGCAGGAGCTCTGGATGTGGAGCTGGCTGCCAGAGCCCTGCATTAATGATGATTCAGAGTTCACAATCTGATCGTGGCCGATAAAAATAGCTAGCTCCTGCTTGGAACAATTCATTACACAACACACCCTGCTCCCGGGGTGCTCCCACCGCTGGCTCGGCAGCTCCGCCTTGGGGCAGAGCCCATCCCCAGGGATGAGCAGAAGAGTTCTCTGCCCATCCTGGGGGTCCTGAGCAGAGTTAATGCCACCCACCGTGACAGTGTCACCAGGAACACCGAGCACTGCACAGCGATGGAGGGGACTTCCAGCAAGCTAAGTGTGTCACCTCTTTGGGATCCCTCCT